AACTGAGTGAGACGAAGACTGTTCAAAAAGCTGTTTTCTTTTTACTCTGTATTCGTCTATCAATAAAGATTAAGTTTTGCAGAATTTGACTATATCTCAGATGACGAACTAGGACAAAGCTTAAAGGACGGTGGTCGTCGCGCCACACATGCGCGAGATATGGGTGTCATATGAACAAAGATGGCGACTTTGACTGTTGTTCATGCCAACGAGTACAAATTGATATGTTTCTAAGATTTAAATATGTAATTCTTACGGTGATTGGAAAGTATGAAAGGAGTCACTGGCGGTGCACTTCACGTCCAGGTCAAAACACTTACTCGTGATTTCCAGTAGAAGAGCGTGATGATGGATTGTGGGAAATAATATTAATCAACACAAATGTCGCACATGCGCGGCGCGACGACCACCGTCCTTTAACACAGTGGTCGATTTGAACGACAATGCCTCCATCTACATACGTCACAGAAAATCCCTGCCACTAAATGGCGTGATTTGTAGAAATTTGTTTCTCTCATGTACGTTCTCCTAAGGCCTGGGGCTTCCCGATTTGTAAATGGATTCTTTGCTCGTTGTTCGTAGTGACGAATAATCGTATCATAACTCGTTAAATATATTATCAATTACTAACAGTATTTTAAAATTGATAGCTTATAAAAATGTCATTTTTGGTGTAGACATCGTGACGTTTTTCATTAGTCTTAACAAAAAAGTCGCCTTCGAGCAAGTAGTATTAAAAGTGTACCGGTATGACCTTGGAACTCGTGCTATATATAGACTTTTCAACATATGAACCGTCCTCGTAATGGAATATGAGTGATTGCATTTATAAATTTATTACCATTGAGTAAATAGTGTATGTGAACCGGAAATGACGTGCTGGAAATACCTACTATTCTTTGATACTATAATACTAGAGTAAAACCAACAATATTAGTCATTTCTTCTCATATATTGTACAAGAACGATTTACGAGCATAATATTCATACCACTAAGCAATTATTCTTTCACCATATTGACGTTTTGGTTTTATGTTTTTATTCTGTCCGTTTCATTTTCAGGAATGTGGTAATTACTTTCGTAGTGGTTGTTGCTATAGTGATTATTTGTCCGTGTTTCGTTTACAGACACCATAATAGCGGTCCCTGCCCATCGGTTAGTACATTATATGCCTATGTAATGTGTTCTTTTTCTGTGCCTAGTGGATTGCATTTACTGCAGTTGAAATAGCGTTTTATTTTTAAATTTGGTTAAAAAAGTTCCAGTCGAATCCAAATTTATCGGTACTGAGCATGTTACTGCACATGTATACAATACATTATGAGAGTGAAATTCCTATTGTATTACTATTTTTCAATACAAGAAGTAATTTCACTATAAAAACAATGAAAATGTAAATTTGTCTATTTTCCCACGAAATTACTTATAGTATTTGTTACCCGATAATTTTGTTTTTATTTCCGGTATTCTAATAACCCTATTATAAAGAAAGTATGAAGATAGCATATAACTTCTTAAACACGTTCTCGATCAGTAACGATAGCCATCGAGCAATGCGATTGGTTGAACGCATCAGTAACGATAGCCATCGAGCAATGATATTGGTTGAACGCATCAGTAACGATACCCATCGAGCAATGCGATTGGTTGAACGCATCAGTAACGATACCCATCGAGCTATGCGATTGGTTGAACGCATCAGTAATGATACCCATCGAGCAATGCGATTAGTTGAAAGTTAAGTTACCATGTGCATCGAACCTTGTTATTCAGACATGTCCCATATATTCTCCCATGAATTGCAGAACCCTAGAACAAATTCGCCCAAGTAGAAGTTTGTACGTACGTGATACACTGTTTTATTAGCAAAAGCTTGTATTTCATACAACTTCAC